TCCATTCAGTTAAACATCCACTGGTGACTCTTGTAGGTGCCCGACCGCCTGACCGGATGGGCTCTCAGCGAGGGGCACCAAGAAGACTCTACCCACCTGAGCCACCCAGCCGGCGCTGGGAGATCTTCGGTGAAAGGCGTTGTTATTAAAAACAGTTTTGTTTTAGTTCTGGCCCCATCTGGAGTCCTTCCCCAGCCGGCCTCTACTCCATTCCCATCCACAGCGCTGCGGGTATCCATCGCTTTACGTGCGCGGCTTTCTCTTAGGGCAACTAACTCGGCCAACCGTCTCCTTTAAAAGAGGGGGAGTCCCAGGGCCTCAGTCACATAAAGAGCCGAAATGCACACGATGACTTCGACTTGGGCCTTTTCTTTAAAAATCTTACACCGGAGAGGAGGACATGGAACAGTAGCGACACAGAAAGGTAGCCCAGGGTTCAGGAAGGTGAATACTCCCCGCGCAGTCAGTGATGGGAAAGTGAATGGTTTTGATAATCAAAAGAGAGAACTTGTTCTGGCCAGGAGTGGGTAGATACGGGTTCTGAAGGAGGAGGAATGAGCCAAGGCTAAATATAAATTAATAATGAAAACAGCAATGACAACAGGGCGGGTTGTTGGTTCTGCACCAGAGGCTGCCCCGCGCATTCGCCGCGCATCGTCTCTTTGGGTCGCGCTCTGTGGTGGGCAGGTGTTGTCCTGCGCCTTCCCGTCCCTCTGGGCTCCGAGCGCTGGAGGAGGGCTTTGTCCTAAGTCACCCAGCGAGCGAGCAGAGGCGCTGGGCTCTCCCCTTGAAGTTCCTCCAGAGCTCTGCTCCCAACCACCCCCTGCATTGGCAGAGAGGGAGGCAGAGGCGTTTCCAGGCTGGGGGGTGGGGGGGAGGGCGGAGGGGAGGGAGGCAAGTTGTCGTGTGATGGCAATGTGTCTCGCCAGACAGATTTGGGCTGGAACTCCAAGCTTCAGCACCGTCTGCGCCGCAGCCCTGGCCGCCCCCTGCTGGCCAGACCCACGAGGAGACGGTGCGCTCTGCACTGAGCTCCTCAGCGGCGCCTCTCAGCCAGCAGTCCTCGGGGGCCAGCGCTCTGGGCTTTGGCCATCCCAATGGGTGTGTAAGAGTACCTCCTTGCTTTAATGTGCATTTTCCTGAGGACAGCTCATGTAGGGCACCTTTTCGTATGCTTATTTGCCACTTATACATCTTCTTTGGTGAGATCTGTTCAAGCTTTTGCCCATTTTTAAATTTAAATCTGTACATTACTTTAGGCAAATTACCATTTTAACTATTAATTCTTCCAGTCCATGAACACGGGATATCTTTCCATTTCATTGTGTCTTTTTCAATCTCTTTTAATAATTCTTTGTAATTTTCAGTATATAGGACTTTCACATTCTTTGTTAATTCCAAGGTATTTTATTCTTTTGGTTGCAATTATAAAAGGAATTTTTTTCATTTCTTTTTCTGATGTTTCGCTGTTAGTATACAGGAAGACAGTGAATTTTTGTACATTGATTTTGTATTCTGCAACTTTACTGTATTTGTTTGTTGTTTGGTGGAGTCTTTAGAATTTTCTATGTACAGAATCATATTGTCTGCAAAAAGTGGCTTTTACTTCTTTCTTCCCAATTTAGATACTTTTTATTTCTTTCTCTTGCCTCATCGCTCTGACTAGCACTTCCAGCACTATGTTGAATAAGAGAGGTGAGGGTGGACATCCTTGTCTTTTCCTGATCTTAGAGGAAAAGTGTCCGGTTTTTCACCATTGAGTATGATATAGCTGAGGGTTTATCATATATTGCTTTTATGATGCTGAGGTACTTCCTATTTCCATGTTGTTGAGTGTTTTAATCATAATGGATGTTGTATCTTGTCAATGCTTTTTCTGCATCTATTGATAAGGTCATATGATTTCATCCCTCCTTTTGTTGATGTGGTACATTACATTGATTGATTTGCAATGTTGAACTATCCTTGTGTCCCTGGAATGAACCTCACTTGATTCTGATGTATTATTTTTTGGATGCACTGTTGTAGTTGATTTGCTAGTATTTTGTTTAGGATTTTTGCATCTGCAGTCATCAGAGATATGGTCTGTAGTTTTCTTCCTTTGTGTTATCTTTGCCAGGTTTTGGTATCAGGGTTATGTTGGCCTCATAAAATCTATTAGGAAGTATTGCCTTTTCTTCAATTTTTGGAAGAGTTCTAGAAGGATAGATATGAAATCTTTGAATGTTTGGTTTTGTTTATAGGGGTCTTTTCTCTTTTTTCCTTAGTGAGTCTAAAGAGGTTTTTGTCACCATAGCCAGTTTGGCTCAGTGGCTAGAGCTTCGGCCTGGCGACTGAAGGCTCCCAGTTCAATTCTGGTCAAGGGCACATGCCTGGGTTGCGGGATCAATACCCAGTACAGGGCATGCAGGAGGCAGCCAATCAGTGGTTCTCTCTCATCATTGATGTTTCTATCTCTCTCCCTTCCTCTCTGAAATCAATAAAAATATATTTAAAAAAGAAGGATTTGTCAATTTTATTAATCTTTTCAAAGAACCAGCTCTTTGTTGTATCGATTTTTTGTATCAGCTTTTTGTTCTCTATTTCATTCAATTATGCTCTATTTTTATTGTTTCCTTTCTTCTGCTGACTTTCAGTTGCTTTCATTCTTCTTTTTCTAGTATTTTCAGATGTGATGTGAGGTTGTTTAGTTGTGATTTCTTTTGTTTCTTGAGATAGGCCTGTAGTGTTATAAACTTCCCTCGTATTACTGCTTTCATTGCATCCCAGAAGATTTGACATGTCATTCTCATTCCTTTCTATATGTCTTTTTTAAAAAATTAAATCTTGATTGTTGAAAGTATTAAACATGTCCTTTTTCATCCCCCATGACCCATTCTAGCCCACCCCTACCCTCCATCCCAGGCCTTCACCACCGTATTGTCTGTGTCAATGGGTTATGCATAGATGCATACAAGTTCTTTAATCTCTTCCCACACACCCACCCTTCCCCACCTTCCCTCTGAGGTTCCCCAGTCTGTTCCATGCTTCTCTGTCTCTGGATCTATTTTGTTCATCAGTTTATTTTGTTCATTAGATTCCAAGAGTGAGATCATATGACACTTGTCTTTCTCTGACTGGTGTTACCATAAAAAGATTCAAACCTGTGGAGAATTTTGGTGAGTTTATTTGAGTCAAACTGTCAACAATTGCCAGGAAGCAGAATCTCAATGGATTGGGATAGTGCTCTGGAGGATGGTGAGTTTCCATCTATTTTTATACATTTACAATCAAAGGAGGGGACAAAGGTGGGTGACATGAAACCCATTGTGATAGATTAGGGAGGTGGGAGAAAGCAAAGGGGGGAAACCTCTGGGATTGGATAAAAAGTAAAATGAGAGACACATACTTAGGTGGGTGCAAGATAGTTTACAGTCAACAATTAACATGATAACAATAACAATGAAGGAATATGATCTCCTGGCACCCAGGGCATTTGGTTGTGCCCCAGGGGTCAGGGGAAAGGGGTTACATTTCATAGGTATTATCCTAGATGCAAAAGGACAATAGTCTCAGTTAAAGTAAAAATTGCCCTCATCAGGGAAAATACAGGCCTAGGACAGAACTATCCACCATAACTGCTTTTAGTTAAACTTTTCATTTCAGACCATCCCTTGCGGTTACTTTAGGTCTTTAAGTTTGCAAGACCTTCCTTGATCTTGTCAGTTTAGCATGTGGCCTTTTTTTTCTTTTTTTTCATCCACACTGGCTTATTTCACTTAGCACAATACTCTCCAGGTCCCTCCATGCTGCCTCAAAGGGTAAGAGGTCCTCCTTTACTTTTTTTTTTACAGATGTATAGTATTCCATGGTGTAAGTATACCACAGCTTTTTATCTACTCATCTACTGATGGGCACTTGCGCTGTTTCCAGGTCTTAGCTATTATAAAAAGCACTGCTATGAACATAGGGGAGCATACATTCTTTCTGATTGGTGTTTTGGGTTTCTTAGGAAATAGTCCTAGAAGTGGGATGACTGGATCAAATGGCAGTTCCATATTTAATTTTTCAAAGAAACTTCATACTGTTTCCCATAATGGCTGCACCAGTCTTCATTCACACCACCAGTGTACTAGAGCTCCCTTTTCTCCACATCCTTGCCAGCACTTGTCATTTGTTGATTTGTTGATAATAGTCATTCTAACAGGTGTGAGATGATACCTCATGGTTTTAATTTGCATCTCTGCAATGATCAGTGACTTTGAGCATCTATATATGTAAAAGGCTAAGGGGTCATCCAACTGGCCAGTAGCTATGATGCGCATTGACCACCAGGAGGAAGACGCTCAATGCAGGAGCTACCAAGCTGTGGTCACTTGGCAGTAGCGGTTCTTGGGTGACACACCCTGGAACCAGAGATGAGGGATCCCAATTCCTCGTGATTCCTCTCACACTCTGGGACCCCTCGGGGGATGTCAGAAAGCCAGTTTCAGCCCGATCACTGTAGGCTAGGCCGAGGGATCCCACCTGCCAGAGGGACCCTGCTCACTCAGCAGACACCCTTCACGCCGCAGTGCCAGCCCAGGTGCGGCCGGACAGGGAGGGACCACGGGAGGTTGGCTCCAGGGCCTGTCCAGCCCATCTCACCCAGTCCAGCCCTGCCAGCCACCACCCGGGACCGCCTGCATTAGTCCCTGCACCAGAGGGACGAATTAATTTTCTTTCAATGTGCACAAATCCATGCACCAAGACACTAGGTTTTTTCATATGTCTCTTGGCCATTTGTATGTCCACTTTGGAGAAGTGTCTATTTAGGTCCTTTGCATTTTTTAATTGTTCTCCCATACAGGGGTGCTCCCTTTTCATTTTGTTGATGGTTTCTTTTGCTGTGCAGAAGCTATTTATTTTATTTTTTAAATATATTTTTATTGATTTCAGAGAGGAAGGAAGAGGGAGAGACAGAAACATCAATGATGAGAGAGAATCATCGATTGGTAGTCCCATTTGTTTATTTTCTTCTTAGTTTCCTTTGCCCTAGGAAATGAATTTGTAAACATATTGCTAGGAGAGATGTCTGAGATTTTGCTGCATATGGTTTCTTCTAGGATATTTATGGTTTCATGAGTTACATTTAAGTCTTTATCCATTTTGAATTTATTTTTGTGTATGGTGTAAGTTGGGGACTATTTTAATTTATTTGCATGTATCTGTGCAATTTTCACAACACCATTTATTGAAGAGACTGTCTTTACTCCATTGTATATTCTTGCCTCCTTTGTCAATTATGAATTGAGCATAATGGCTTGGGTCGATTTCTGGGGTCTCTATTCTATTCCATTGACCTATATGCCTGATCTTGTGCCAGTATGAGGCTGTTTTGATTATGGTGGCTTTGTAGTATAACTTGATATCGGGTATTATTTTCCCTCTAACTTTGTTCTTCTTTCTCAAGATTGCTGTGGCTATTCAGTTTTTTTTGGTTCCATATAAATTTTTGGAGTATTTGTTCTAGATCTGTGAAATATGCGGTTGGTATTTTAATGGGGATTGTATTTAATTGGTAGGTTGCCTTGGGTAGTATGAACATTATAATGATTCTACCAACCCATGAACACGGTATATTCTTCCACTTGTTTATATCTTCCTCTATCTCTCTTTTCAACATCCTGTAGTTTTCGGAGTACAGGTCTTTTACCTCCTTGATTAAGTATTCCTAAGTATCTTAGCTTTTTTGTTGCAATGGTAAATG